TTTTTTTTTGAGTTGAAAGATATTTTTGGGGTACATGGACTGTAACAAAGTATAAAAGGTGAGGCCACTGTGGCATGGTTTAGTTATCTTTACTGCATACATTCTGATAAGTTATACTGAATTTTCCAAAGATTTGATAACATGCAATCTCTGATTATCATGCAGCTGTCAGGATGACAATATAAGTTTTTTTTTTAATTATTTATATTTGTATATTAAAAAAGACCCTAATGCTATAAATACCATAGTTCCCTTGTTATAATTTTCCCTGTTTCTTCTTTTATTAGTACTTATTTAAATAGGATACTTTGATAGGTTTTTGTGTTAAAAGACTCTAATTCATATTAATTGGTGTGAAATGATTTTGTGCGTATAGATTATCAAGCTTTTCTTGTTTTGAGCTTTAGACTGAGTTTTGCCATTTCTACCACTATAGGAAATATATGCAGGAAATTCATGGTATAAAAAATTGTAAGGCTAATAGGGCTGTTATATGTTTTTGACAGGTACACATTTCATATGCTGAGCTGAACCCCAGTTTATAGACCTAATGTTCATTTAAGTTTTATATTTGCTGGACCTTATACACTTGATGTTACCTTCATTTTGAAATCTGCAAGATAGGTGGCTGTAGTTAGAGGACACCAGCTAATTGTTGGTATTTTAAAAGTTCACGAAATAATATGAAAATGTAAATTTTAATATGCAAAAGTTATTTTAATGTTAGAAGCATACAAGTGTAACAAAATGATTTGATCCAAGTTCTGTTATAAGTTGCTGGCAGGAATTAATTTCAGAATGCAAGTGAAGTGCCCTCAAAATGGTTAATTTCTTATTTTATCCTTCTATTTACAAAATAGTTTATTTGATGTTGTGCTAATTATCCATGTCTCAATGTGTAGAACTGCTTCAGCTTTGAATTGTACTTCGTTGCAATGATTACACTCATATAAGTACCTTCTCTGGTTATTGTAATGATATAAATGTGCATGTAGGTCTGCTGTAAATGATGAGGATGAGATGAGTGGCCTTCCAAATATTCAAAAAAATTCATCAAGGTAAGAGCTGTTACTGCTTTGATGAGTGGAATGCTAGAGCTATGTAACTATTTGGACTCAAGAGTTGAATGCTTCGGATTTGATTTAATGACAAATTTAATTACATTTTTGTTCTGAACTGATAAAAATCTGTATTCAGTTGGAAGTTGCAAGTAATAATTTGTTGAGAAAGGAATTGAAGCTTTCTTTTCATGATTGATTTTGGCACCTGAAACAATTGGTTTCAGGAGCTAGCATTGATGTTAAATTTCTTGCAATTTGAATTCTTAGTTGTTACCGTAAGTGCATTTACTCTGGTCTCTAAAATTGCACTTTTTAACTGGTGAAACAGATTGATATGGAATATGGAGACAGGATTTACTTCCAATTTTTGGGTGATACTTCAAATCTTTTATGCCCTTTCTTTTCATGTTTTGCAGGTTGTCAACTATTGGCCAGAAAAGGGAATATCTGGATTTATAGTATATAAATTTCGACTTAGGAGACTTGAAGGGCAGTCTACATTAACCACTAATCAGGTTCAATTATATTTGTTCTAATTTCATCTAGAAAATGTTTTCTTGTTTTATTGTCTGTGTTTGGTAAAATCACTACAAATTTATCATAAAGCAGAGGTTGGAATTTAATTAGAAGGAATTATATATGAAAATGGAGAAGTGAACCCCCAAGGGTAGCTCAGTTGGCAGCTGAGCTTCCAAGGGATTGCTTGGTGCAGGGATCAAACCCTGCCTCAAGCAGTTTCTTGGAAAATCTTTGGAGGCCAGAGGATAAGCTAAAAATCTTCGGTTAGGGGATTAGTCTCGTCCTTTCTCCGGTTGCGAAGCTTAGTGCACCCACTGTTACAATGAGGGGCTAGCCTAAACGGGCCGTACCTTGAGGGCATGGTGCCCGGAGAAGGTTGAATGGGGATACCTCCTGGCAATGTACCAAAAAAAAATAAAAAATAAAAAAAAATGGAGAAGTGAAGAAGCTAAATAAATTTTTATGGCTATGATACATTCCTCAGGATTGACCAACAGTAATGTAGTTGTGACATAGTGACTTGATATATTTTCAAAGTGAAATAATGGGGATGTTGAATTCTGGTTTAAACATGTGAACGTAATAGCTTAACTGTGGGAAAAGCAACGGCCCATCCATATATTTTGTTGCTATTTGATTTCTTAGATTGGGTTTGTAACACTTTAATTCTTACCCATTTACTTGTTTAGATATTGATTCTTTTTTTTGGGAGGTTTTGGGGGTAGAAAGATGTAAATGGGGTTTCGCTATACCCTTCGGGTGTAGGACTGATTCCCCCTTGAGCCTCGAGTTGACCTTGGCAACAAGGTGCTTCTAGACGAAAAATGGAGTCCAGATACAACAAAAAAGCCAGTCCCTTGCTCTGTAAATTGGAAATGGAAATAGTTATGGCCTTATGGGAATAGCACCTAAAGCAGCCATAAACAAAATCCTATCCCATGCATAACAAGTTTAAGAGTAAAGGGGAAAAGGGTAAACTTGAAAATATAAGTGTTCTCCTCTATTGAATTACACTATAGAACTGCATAAATTGCATGCTGCCATAAGATTTCAACTTTCTTGTTTTCATCTTGTTTTCATCAAAACATTCATAACGAACCATTAAGACTGCCTCAAAGTAGAGGGTCACACACAGTGCCTCACCAACCAAGAGCTGCTAAATAAGTGTTCCATAGGAAAGTATTTGCCTTACAAAAAAGTTTTGGTGATGCAAAAATAGTAATAAACCTAAAAGCCTTAGTTGTTTGGTGAAGGTCTAAGAATGGGTTTGGTTAATAGAGATGAGATAAACCCAAAGAGTTTGAGCATGAAAGTGCCCTGACCAATCTGTCAAGGCTGTTCTAGTTTTATCAAAGAGATAAATTCTACAAGTTCATATTTATATAGCTCTAATACAAGTATAAAAGAATAAGTAATGTAACTGAACTACAAAATTAACTAGAACACACAAATATGTAACAGTATTTATTTACTTAACATGTATTCTTGCCAACTCTTGTGATTTCCTATACTTTAGTTATATACAAAGAAAATGCTACAAAGTTCATTGTAGCAATTTTTAAAGAAAGAGAAGTGAGATTGATATCTGACAGCTAGTAACCCACTAGCATTTAGCTTATTCCTATGTTATATGTGTCTTGTGTCCCATGATTTTTTTAATCAAAAAGAAGTTTTCTTACTTTCCCCAGTTTAGTGTTCGTTTTGTAGGTATTCAAATGACTAGTTGTAGAGCTGTGTATAGTCATGATCTTTTTTGTTGTAATTCTCTTTATCTAGATTCATATTGATAGTCATATTTCATCTGTTTCCTTTAGGGTGATTTTGCAATCCAAGCAGTGGGGCTTTAAAGGATCTTAGCTTATTTTGTTGTGATGACAGGTTTATTTCACTCATGGTCGCATACCTCAGTCACCTGCAGAAATACGAGGGTAATTGATGGAACCCAGAAAAATAACACTGATATAAAATGAAATCAGATAAAGATTAACAACAAATTACAGTAATGCAAACATAGAAAGACACCTAGAGGAAAAAGTCCACTCCAAGGCAACATCCCTAGCCTTGAGAGCATCCCTATTTCCTCTCCCAATTCCCCACTCCAATTTATCTGAAAACATGCATAACGAAACCTCACCCTAAATGTCTATATATTCTAATCCTAACAAATGATAACTAATGGGCTTGGATATTTATTGAAGGCCCATCATTAATCAATGAAGAAACTTTTGTAAATTGAATATTTAATATGCTTTATCCCAATTATATTAGGCTAACATCTTTTATACTTTGCTTAGGTTGGTATGCGAGGATATCACTGGAGGTCTGGAACATCCACCCATTCCTGCTACGAATTTGGTTGATGACCCCCCTGTTCCACCCACAGGCAAGTTGAATTATGGGTTTGCAATTTGAATCCCCTGTTTTATTGGTGAGAGTGAATCCTCTCGTGTAAATTTCACATGATAGTCATTTGTAAATTTTATGTCTCTCTCTCTCTCTTCACAAGCTTTAAATCGGGTGGCCTATCAACATTTGTGATATTTATAAAAAGAGAGATAAATACAATTTTTACATGATCAGGTCATATGAAAGTTACAAATAAGAGGATTCATTCCCTATTTTGGTTGATATATATATATATATATATATATATATATATATTCACACACTGATTGTCACTTTATTTCAAGCTGTGAATGCTGTTGGGTAGGTCCAAGCGTTAATTGCTGTTGATTTTAAATTTCAGTGCTAGAATATCTTATATTTTTTAATCTTTTATTATTGATCCAAGATATGCTAATTCTCTTATGTGTTGAGTAGATATTTACTCTTGAATTTACTTTGTGAGTTAGCTCATTATTATGGAAGTATGGAAGGAAGGTAGCGTAGTCAAAATCATCATAAAATTTTAATAACTCTGCCTTTATCCTCTAATATTTGTTGATAGTCATCATTGTCTCTTTATGCTTGGATGGAAATTCATTTCTTCTTGTAGAAGTGGAATTATTATTATTATTTTTGTTTATCCACCTGCTCATGTCCTTTTATGTCAGATTCATGTTGTGATGATTATATAATAATGTTCACCATTGTACTTTTAAATATTATGAAAGCTAAATTTTGCTTTGTGCTTACTTTGGTGTCTGATTTTTAAATATTATAGGTTTCACATATTATAAGTCCGTCAAGGTTGCAAATAATGTGACGGTTCCCAAAAATGCTACTGGATGCAAATGCAAAGGCTTTTGTATTGATCCGACAACTTGTGAATGTGCATTGCTTAATGGCTCAGATTTTCCCTATGTATCTCGGGATGGTGGCAGGTTAGAAACTTGATTCGTGAAATGCCAGTTAAATTTTGTTTGCTGTAATATTTGATGTGGTTGCTTTTATGTATAAATTGACAGGTTAGTTGAAGCCAAAGATGTAGTTTTTGAATGTGGCCCCAAATGTGGTTGTGGTCCTGGTTGTGTGAACCGAACTTCTGAAAGAGGACTTAGATATCGTCTGGAGGTAGCACATTGTATTGGTATCCTAAGATCTTTAGATTATTAAGATAACTATATTGAGTTTTTAATTTTGTTTATTCAACTAAATTGTTACATAGGTTTTCCGTACTGCAAAGAAAGGATGGGCCGTTAGATCTTGGGATTTTATACCTTCTGGAGCCCCAGTTTCTGAGTACACAGGAATACTTGCTAGGACGGAAGATATGGAAAGTGTATTGGAAAACAATTATATTTTTGACATAGATTGCTTGCAAACAATCAAGGGGCTTGGTGGAAGAGAGGTATTGAATCCTTTGAAACCTTATCATGTGATTATATTTTTCTCAGCTACTTCACCTAAATGTTTAGAACTTTTCTCGTCTCTTTGGTGACATTAATTTTGACAGAGGCGGTCAAATAATGTAGCATTTCCTGCAAATCTTTTGGACAAATGCGATGACCAAGGTTCTGAAAGTGTGCCAGAGTTTTGTATTGATGCAGGATCTACTGGAAATATTGCTAGGTTTATAAACCATTGTTGCGAGCCTAATCTATTTGTTCAATGTGTTTTGAGCACACACCATGATTTGAAATCGGCTCGAGTAGCGTTGTTTGCTTCCGACAATATACCCCCTTTGCAGGTAACTCATTTTCTATATTCCCCCGATTTGTCTTCTTGGGGATGTTGTTAACATATTGGGGTTGGGGATGTGGCCGAAAAATTAACATGTTTGCTGATATTTGTTATTGATAATTATGGTGATAGCTATGTCAACTCACTTTAGACTGTTGAAATTTATTTTATAGCCATGCTTATTTTCTTACTTCTGTTACCTATTGTTTCTGGGATGTTTCATGAATTAGATTTTGGGAGGATTTGTGGGTAATAGATATACCTTCTTTATTCTCTTTCTTTTTTATATCATTGGCACCCCTATATATGTGACTAGTGGACGTCACAGTGTGAAAATGGAAGTGTAAGGGTGGGCCTACTTCCAATCCTGCAAAGTCTGAGAGTCTTGTGTACTGGTGTTTTCTCTTTTGGGGTTTTAGTCTGAAGTCTTTGACAAATGTTTTGAATCTCTTTGATTTCTTGCAGGAGCTGACATATGACTATGGCCATGCGCTTGATAGTGTCTTTGACTCCAATGGGAAGATAAAGCAAATGCCATGCTACTGTGGAGCCCCAGGCTGCAGGAAGCGATTGTTCTAAGTGTGTTACTTGGTCCTTTTTTATGAATGTTGTATGGGTGTTGTACGTGGTCTTTTTGCAAAACTAGAGGTCGTATTTTTCCTAAAACTTTCGCTCAAATCCATACATGATTGATTTGTTGTATCTGTAAATGATACCAAAAATGACAATGTAATTTTTGATGCAAGTCCAAAAGGATGAAATAGATTTTTTTTTTTGTTTGTTTGTTTGCTGGAAATAGCCTGCTTTATTGAATACTGCGAGTGATACAGAATGGGTATCTGTAACAGAATAGAACTATGAACTATATTCTTATTCACAATGATCAATGAGTCTCTTCACTACACAATGCCCCTATTTATAGTTACATTTGAACATTATTATATAATCATCACAACATGAATCTGACATGAAAGGACATGAGCAGGTGGATAAGAAAAATAATAATAATAATTCCACTTCTACAAGAAGAAATGTTCCTGACGGTGGCGGTCAGCTTGATTCTTCATTCTTTGTTGTGCTCGTTGTAATTGCACTTTTAATAAGGATAAAACTTCCCCTCTCTGACGCAACATCATATCTACTGCTTCTGTTTGAACAGAATCCTTGTGGTACTGAGGGATGAGAGTTGGTAGTTTCCCATATAGCGCTTGAAAGGGAGACATTTGGATGGAAGAATGCACTGAAGTATTATAGTGTAACTCAGCCCAGCATAGCCATTGAGACCATCTACTGTTCTGATCAAAGCAAAATGCACGCAAATACTGTTCAAGATATCGGTTGGTGACTTCGGATTGTCCATCCGTTTGGGGATGGTATGAGGAACTAGCAAGTAATTTAGTTCCACTCAAACGAAATAACTGCTGCCAAAACCGACTTATGAAAACTGGATCACGATCCGAAACCAAAGATCTAGGAAAGCCATGGTGCTTCACTACCATCTCACAAAATAAGGCAGCTACAGAGTTGCTGGTAATGGTCCAAAGTGGCCATATTTAGACAATCGATCCACCACCACTAATATGGTTGCATACCCATTGGACTTTGGTAATGCAGTGATAAAATCTAAGGTTAAGTCATCAAAAATTGCATCAGGAATCTTTAATGGTTGCAATAAGCCAAACGGTACCTGAGTTGAATTCTTTATTTGTTGACAAATGGAACATTCTTGGACAAATAATTTGACATCTCTCCTCATGTTGCTCCATTTAAATGAAGTAGACAACCTCATGAATGTTCGTTGAACCCCAGCATGTCCCCCCACAGGTGTGCAATGTGCTTCTGTCAACAATAGTGCCTTCAATGTAGATGCAGATCCTAACAAGCACCTAGACTTGTGAAATAGCATACCATCCTTTCGAGAGATAGCTGGATCCATATGAGAGCCTTCATCAATCAATTTGTGGATAGCTAATAATTCTGGATCACTGTTATTTTCCTCCTTGATCTTCATCCATACATCAATTGTAGGCTGTGATTGTAACACACAGCAAGTAAGAATTTCTTCCTCTGGAAATTGGCGTGAAAGAGCATCAGCTACAATGTTAGAAGAGCCTGATTTGTACTCAATTGAAAAATTATAGCCCATGAGCTTATGAGCATACTTTTGCTGTTCTGGAGTTTGGATAGTTTGCCTCAACAATTCCCTTAAGCTTTGGTGATCTGTTTTAATCACAAAATAAGAGCCAAGTAGATAATGTCTCCACTTTTTGATTGCCTCAGTGACTGCAAAAAGCTCTCGAACATATGCAGATGCCACAGCCATCCTAGGACCCAATTTCTTACTGAAATAAGAGACTGGTCTACCTTCTTGTAATAAAACTGCCCCCACTCCCAAGTTGGACGCGTCTGATTCAATCACAAAGGAAGAAGTGAAATCTGGCAGCCTTAGAACTGGAGTGGTGGACATAGCTAGTTTGAATGCTTGGAAAGCACTTTCTGCCTCAGATGACCATTTCCACTTATCGAGCTTCAATAATTCAGTGAGGGGATGAGCCAATGAGGCATAGCCTTGTACAAACCTCCTGTAATAGCCTGTTAACCCCAAGAAGGCTCTAAGCTGTTTGATAGATTTAGGTATTGGCCACTCCATCATGGCTTCAATTTTTTTAGCATCTGCCTTGACACCAGAAGCAGTAACCACATGGACCAAGTAGGCAATTTCACTTACACCAAAATCACATTTGCTTAATTTGACAAAAAACAAATTATCCAATAGGCAAGACAGTGCTGTTGCCAAATGCTCCTTATGATCAGCCAAGGAAGAACTATAGATTAGAACATCATCGAAGAAAACCACAATGAACTTGCGAAGGAATGGTCGAAAAATTCTATTCATGGTTGATTGAAAGGTTGCTGGTGCATTTGTAAGGCCAAATGGCATAACTTTGAATTCATAGTGACCATCATGTGTTCTAAATGCGGTTTTGTGTACATCTTCTGGTTTCAGACGTATTTGATGATAACCAGAACGCAAATCCAACTTACTAAACAGCTTAGCATCATACAATTCATCCAATAGTTCATCTATGGTAGGAATGGGAAAAGCATCCTTGATAGTTAATGCATTTAAAGCTCGATAATCAACACACATACGCCAAGTATTGTTATTTTTTCTGACTAACAAAACGGGAGAGGAAAAAGAGCTATGACTTAGCTGAATCCAACCAAAATCTAAGAGTTCAGCAACTTGCCTTTCGATTTCCTCCTTTTGGTGATGAGGGTATCTGTATGGCTTCACTCTGACAGCTTTAGACTCATCTATCAGCTGAATAGAATGTGTCAATTCGCGAAATGGAGGCAATGTCTTAGGTATCTCAAACACCTGTTGCCATTTGACTAATACATCCCATAATTCAGGTGGAATTTTCTCCTTCAGAAGTAACATATCAGAATTCACTTGAGTGACTGCATCATCCTGCCCCCACAAAGCATGACAAGTGGTTTGCTCCTCCATCACAGCTACTGACTGCTGTTGTGGTTTGGTACCCTTCAACTCAATCAACTTATTGGTCCATGTAAATTCCATAGACAATTCAGCATAATTGTGAGTAACTCTTCCCAAAGTAATTAACCATTGCATCCCCAAAACAATATTGAGATTGCATAAGTCTAAGACATATAGATCAGTCACAAATGTATGTCCTTGAATCAGTAATTGGACCTGAGAGCATTTTCTGTCACATTTCAAAAACTCACCATTGCCCATAAAGACTCTCATTTTAGGTGTTCGAACCATTGACAAGTGTAGTTCCTCAACCAAACTTCTTTGTATGAAGTTGTGAGAACTACCAGAATCCACCAACACTTTAACATCCAATGATCCTACCCTTGCCAACAGTACCAAAGATTTAACATCTGACCTGCCAGACAGTGAGTGTAATGCAGCATCAAGTTTCGAATCCTTAGTATCTTCTTTTCTCCAAATTATTTCCTCCTCTGATTCTTCACCAGAATCATCATCAACTATCAGGACTAGCATCTTAGCTTTGCAACGGTGTTTAGAGGACCACTTTTCATCACACACATAACAAATCCCCAATTCCCGTTTCTTTGCCAACTCATCAGATGACATTTTCTTAATGGGCCAATTAGAAGTGGAAGCTGAAGCTGCTTGTGAAGGTAAAGTATTTGAGCTAACCTTCTTCGATGTGCTTCCTAAATTCGGTCGAGGAACAAACTTCTTGGGTTGATTTTGAAAAGAATTACGCAGCTCCCCATGGTGGCTATCATAAGCTATAGCCAATTGCATAGCTTGGTGAAGAGAAGTTGGCCACCTAAGCTGCACTGCCCCTTGCAACTCTGCATGCAATCCAGCAATGAAAAAAGTCATCAAGAGGTCATTACTTATATTCGAGACCTGGTTCATCAACCGTTGAAAATCTGCCATATAATCAGCCAAGGATCCAGTTTGCAGAAGTTTAGCCAAAACACCACGAATATCTTTGTAATTAGAAGGACCAAAACGTTCCCTAACAGCACGAACAAACTGCTCCCACAACGTGATGTTCCCACTGGTAAACATCCATTGAAACCAATCGGCTGTTACTCCCTCCATGCGTAATCCAGCCAATTCCACCTTAAATTGCTCTGGAACTTGTTGGATTTTGAAGAATAATTCTGTTTTAAAGATCCAAACATTTGGGTCTTTTCCCTCAAATTTGGGTATCTCCGGTTTGAGGAATTTCAACACCGATCGTGGATCATCATGATTATGAACATGATTAACAACACGCGGTGCTGATGAACCCACATTAGTACTATGATTCTCAAAAGTCATACCTTGAGCTTGAAGGAGAGATTCCTTAAAAGTCGTTTGCATGTCCTGAAAACGAGACTCCATTGTTGCAAACAATTGTTCCATGCGTTGATTGTTCTGCTCCCGGTATTGCATGAACTCCTCAGCAAGTTCCTGAAGCTTCATGATCGCCATGGTTGAACTTGACTCCACCAGGATGAAAGCACCAATGATACAGAATGGGTATCTGTAACAGAATAGAACTATGAACTATATTCTTATTCACAATGATCAATGAGTCTCTTCACTACACAATGCCCCTATTTATAGTTACATTTAGGTGCTGCCACGCAAGCACTACTACTCAATACAACTAACTATTAACTGTCTTCTTATTCACATGGATCACAACCCATGTTAATGCCACTATGTTACATGATCTAAGGCCCACGAAGGACAACCCCTTATCCTTTTGCTTCGGGCTTCAGGCCCTGTTATGTTCCTAACAGCGAGTTTATTGATTTTCGGGTCCAAAAGAAATAAAACGAAAACACCCAAGTATAGGACACATCAAATCGGCAAGAGCAAAAGAATCCATTACAGGAGGATGAGTTTCCTACTTGGTATCCCAACTATCTTCCTCGCCAAAATTAACAATGTTTCTAATTACAGATTTTCAACCTTGCTTATAACTTTTACATATAATTAATTTTTTCATTATTTAACTATTCACGAGATTTGAAATGCCCTTACACTGAAGTAAAATGTCGAAGTTTATAATTCTCATCGTAACATGAACTGCGTTTCGCATATTAATTATTACACAAGCAAAGCCAAAAATTAAGGTACCAGAATACGAGGGGGAAAAGTACGTATTACGCACGTTAGAAAGTTAACATAATTAAAATTATGCACAACAAATATTCTCTTAAAAATGTTTTGAAGATTGGGTTTTGCATTTGTCATGTTGGACGACAAAAGTTGAATTT